ATTTCCTTCAAAGCAGCCTGAACTTCTTCTTTCATCACCATAGGCTATTGCTCATATGTTGTTTCATTAAATTCTTCTGTGTCTGCCAATTCCTTTCGATACAGTGATTCAGCATATTCTTTCCATCTTCTTTTAATACTTCTTGAATCATTTAATATTTTCCTAAAGCATCCTTGATTATAGCAACTCAAGGTTTGAATGTGTTCTTCAGTTCTTTGAGCTTAAGAAATGCTGATCAAGTTTGGCCCTTTTGATTTTCTGACTCCAACTCCTTGCACAGTAATATATTAACTGACATTCAAATCCAGTTGCTCTGCAGAGGAGGATGGGCAGTCTCCTCTCATGCAACTTATTGCCTTTGAAAATCAGCTGGAAAGTAGGTTCTGGTTTGGTTCCCACTAGATGGACAAAACAACAACAGCTGCAGGGCAAGACTTTCTCTCAGTCAGCTCTACAAGGTCTTTGTCTCCTTTCAACATTTGTGGGTTTAGTGTCCCTTGGGGATCTTCCTGTGTCTTCACCTCAAGTTCACAAGGCAGAGAACCTGAGTTCAGGATGGAGGATGAAGCTGCCAGCTCTGCTGTCTTGGTGTCCTTGGAGTCTCTCTGATCTTCATTCACCATTCCACTCCTTCAATCTATGTTATATCTCAGACAAGAATGATTCAAGATACATAGGGCTGCACAATTCGATGTGTGGGTTGGGTGAAGGAAATGGGGAAGGATCTTTTGTGAAAAATAATGTATTGAAACACTGTAAATAAATAGGAATTTTTTTTTAAAAGATGCTTCTTAAACCTGTAGATTCTATGCTGCTTCATTAACATCAGAGAGGATTTACAAACATAAGAAATTACAACAGATTTTAAAACGGAGAATAATTATATATTATAATCAAGGCCTGGCCAAGCTGACATATATTTTTTAGGGTATAAAAGTTCAACCCATAACAGCAACATATAAGAACATTAATATTAAAGTTGTTGTTGTTATGTGCCGTCGAGTCGCTTGTGACTCACAGCGACCCTATGTACAACAGCCCTATACTCTGCTCTATCCTGTGCCAATTGCAGTGCCTCCAACACACCCATCCCGATTACCCCAGTCACTGAATCAATCCACCTCACAGAGGGCATTCCCCTCCTGGGCTGTCTCTCCACCTGCACTCTACCAAGCATGATGTCCGTCTCCAAGGACTAGTCCCTCCTTACAACATGTCCAAAATATGTCAGACAAAGCCTCAGAATCTTTGCCTCCAAGGAGTCACCTGGTTTAACCCTCTCAAGGATGAATATGTTTGTTTTCTTGGCAATCCAAAGTAGAAAATAATAATAGATCTGACTCAACTTGCCAGTCATGAATCAGGAAGAAGACTGCCTGGATCTTGTAAATATCAATGTAGATCTTCCTGGCTTTCTACAAATTAATGATATTTGGTTGATAGCTATTTTCCTGCAGCTTAAAGAAATTCTGGCTAAAGATGCATTTCCTAATTTAGTCTTGTTCTTTGTTGTGTGTACCATAAAGTTGGAACCAATCCATAGCTGACCCTCTGGCAGGTTTTCAGATGCAGTTAAACACATGGGAAGAGATTGCTCATCCTTTTCCTGTGGAGCAGCTGGTGGGATTTGAACTGCATGTCTTCGGCATTGCACCGCAGCTTCTTGCCACTAGGCCACCAGCACTCCCTACTTTAGTCTTATCTAAGAAAAAATTTGAGATTTGTCTAAATGATTCAATCTATTTTCTGTGCATCAGGGCTGTGAAAACTCTTGCACTCTGTGCACTTAAGATGCCTTAATGTTTCTCTTGGGAGAGAAAGCAGCACTCTGGGAATAACTGGAAAATTTTCTGAGATAGCTGAAGGCTATACATTTCTTTCCATGCACTGTAAATGTTTATTTATAGAAACAGGAATGAGGAGTGCACACATGCTGTTACGGACTGAACTGTGTCCTCCAAAAATCTCTGTGGCCATCCTGAGCCCTACAACGAGCCTAAGCCCTATAAACGCAAGATTTACAATGTCTTTGTTATATTAGTAAGGTTCTAACAGGACAGGCTATGGTCTTGAATGCCATCACTTCTGAGTTATAAAGAACAGGATAAACAATCCTAAAAGGCTGTCAGGGATGGGAAGAGAGGGAGAGGGGAGCAGAGATTCGTGGGAGGGTGGGTAGGCAGAAGGGAAAGGCAAGAGATACTGAAGATTTGATAAGACATTTTAATAAATAGAAAGAAAAAGTGGGACAGGATAGACACAGAGGCAAACAAGCATACATGGGAGAAAGTTAGAAGACAAGTGAAAATAATCAAGAAACTGAGGGACACTGGGGCCACCAGAGTGGAGACAAGGTTCTTCCCCCAGAGCCAACAAGAAAAAGCTGTCATCTATAGCTGGTGCTCTGAATATGAACTTTCAACCTCTTAAACAGTGAGAACATTAATTTATTTCCTTAAAACGACCCACTTTTATTATTTGTGTTACAGTAACACTAAGAAACTAAGACATATACGACACAGTACAAAAAGTTACAATAATATTCTCCTCCTCTTTCCTTTCTCAAAACATTCCGCCCCCTGTAAGACATATACTCTTACATACCATGTGGTCAGGAAAATCAACAGATGCATAAATGCATGGATGTATTTCTCTTTCAGTTCACAATAGCACCTCTGTGCTCAAATGTGCTTTTTAATTAGAAACCCTTCTTTCAGCACCTAGTACTGAATATAGATCGAACCTATTCAATCAGAGCAGAAATCATTAAACCCATGAAGAACCAAAGATTTCCAAAACATAAAGTGAGAACTTATTTACCTGAGCAATTATGTCTATAATTTCTGAATAACTATGACATCTTCTCACACAGGACCGAGCCAAAAAGTCTTCCACCAGCCGTGTTCCAATGCCATATCCCCTGTGGACAGTGGGAAGAATGTCATCAGAATATAATATCTGAGTAATTAGTAAGTCTACCAGTGTTTAAAAATATTCATCTATTTAGTATTTGCAGAAATGTATAACAAATGGAAGAAAAAGCCAGTCAAATGGCTGTTTGGTGGTGGGTTTCTTATTCATCCCGTAGACCCCAACCACAGAAGCATTGAGCAATGTATCAGAGAAATACTAAATAGTCTACAAGCAAAGCTAGAATTAAGTCTAGGAAAGGATAGCATAAATCAGAAGTAAATAAAGTTGGCATCTATATAGCTCCAAGTTTTTCTTTGGCAACTAACTTTCCCCTCATTAAATATTGAGAGAAACAGGGTAAGTAATTCAGCAAACTTGCTGTTACAGGTCTGGTTATCACATACTACAGATTCAGGTAGCTAGTCCCATTGCAGGAGGGCAGGTATGTTTAGGATGGTCTTTGGATGGAGATGAAGAAGATGCAGAAAAAGAAATTTCTGTTCACATCTCAAGTTCCCATAACTGAGTTGGAATTTTATTTAAAAAATAAAAGTCAAATTCAGAAAATTCCTTTTAATTCCAGACAAAGTGAATGTATACTTTTTAAATTGTTAGGTGCTGTTGGGTTGGAACCAACTCATAGCTGACCCTCCCAGGAGGTTTTCAGAGGCTGTAAGTAGCACAAGAGGAGATTGCCTGCCTCCCCCCTACAAAACAACTGGTGGGTTCTTTTTTTTTTTTCACAAATAATAATTTTTATTTGTAATTATTAAAAGGCTGAATTTTAAACAGATTCTTGAACTGGTGGCTCATAACCATCAGCTCGTTCAACTTTTGCACCTGTCTCATCTCCAGTAGCTTTTCCAGAGCTACCACCTTCACCATGAATCTCCATGAGTTTGCCCAATTCAAACTTGGGCTTCTTGAGCATTTTTACTTTCCTAACAAATACATCATGGAGAGGATAAATAGATTGGCAAGCCTTTTCTATGTCTTTTCCAATGCTGTCTGGAATCAATTTATTGACCACCTCTTTCAAGGCATTTGTCTGCACCTCTCGGGTCATGATTTCCATCATTTTCTTCCGGATTTGGCGGACCTGTTGGTGCTGAGCATAAGATGTCTTCCGAATCTGATTGTTGCGCTTTTTTGTAAAACCAACACAAAATAGACGGAGCAAATAACCATCGGTGGTTTTGACATCAACATGTGCTTCAGTCATGGTCTGCCATTTTTTGACCATGGAGCACATTTTGTCACGGGTAAGATCCATGCCATGGAAGTTGGTGAGGCAGTTTTTGCCTTGAACATCCTCAGTAATTAGCTTGAATTTTCTAAACGCAACTTCGTCATTTTGCAAATCAGCAAGGCTCACTTCAAAAACACGACCCTTTAGTCCATCAGAAGCAATTTTGGTTCCTTGAGTCCTTGTGACTAATGTCTTCCCAATATTTCTTATATTGAACATTGCTGGCGCCTTTACATCATACCAATCTTTCTTAGAAAATGGATCAACCACTTTCTTCTTGGCTCCTTTTTTGCCACCTTTTGTAAGGCGCTTGTTCTTGCCAACCGCCATGGTGGTGCCGAAGGAATGAAAAACAACAACTGGTGGGTTCTAACTGCCTGCCTTTGATTTAGCAACACAACTCCTTATCATTTGGCTACCAGAGTTGCCAATGGGGTTGTTGTTGTTGTTGTTGTTTTTGTAGTAGTTAGGTGCCATTAAGTTGAGTAGAAAGGACTATTTCCATCCTGCATTCCTGATGAACAGAGTGTTTACAGCTCACAAATGCTAATATAAAGATATTTTCAGGATTGTCTACTATTCTGACGTTTATCCAGTGGATTCGGCCAGTGAAAAGAACAATTGGAAATCATAACATTGTGGACAGCTTAACATTCATTTACATCTTGCTTTGATCATAGAGTATGCTTCTGCAAATTTGATATTTATATTTCAAATAAAAGGTGTAAAACACTTGTAGGAGAAACTACGAGGAAATCCAAACACAAATTATTTCTTGTGTTAAGGCAAGACCTTTCTATAAACTATCAAAAGTCATTCTTTTCCTTATATTTCCTTCATAAATGTTAAAGTATGTTTTTTGGCCATGTAACTGAGTTTCTTCATTTTTAACAACTACTCCTCAAAACAGAAGCTGCATATCAACCACTGAACAGTCCACGGAGCACACTCCTAGTCTGACCCTCATAACATCATCATGAGTCAGAAAGGAGCTTAACCAGCTCTCACAGTTGTGGATAGTTCAGTCAAGGAGTCTAATAAAAGAAGAAAGGAGCTCTGGTGGTGGTGCAAACACCTACAGAAAGGTAGGGGTTTCTCTAACCTGTCTGTCCCTTTCCCCGTCCATTCTATCTACCAATCTTTTCCCTCTTCTCCCTCCCTTCTCATCTCTGGAAACTATCAAGACCAGATGAGCTGTGGGAGGATATCAAGAATATCATCCATGAAGAATGCAAAAGGTCATTATGAAGACAGAGAAGGGAAAAATACACGAAGACAGATATAGGAGGAGACTGAATATTGTACTAAAGCTCTGAGAAGCTAAAACAATGGGAAGAAATCAGGAAGTTAAGGAGTAGAACAGAAGATTTCAAAGGGCAGGCCATGAAGGTAAAGCAAAGTATTGTCATGAAATGTGCTAAGATCTGTAGTCAGAAAATCAAAAGGTTCCAACTCACTTGGCATTTCTTCAGCTGAACAAACGGAAAAACAAATTCATGCATCAAGTTGCAATGTTTAAAGATGCTATGAGCAGAATATTGAATGATCCAGGAGGCATCAAAAGTAGATGAAAGGAGAACATAGAATCACTATGCGAGAAAGAACTAGCTGAAATGGAAGAATTCAATGAAATAACATATAACAAGAGGAAACGGTGATGAAAAAGGAAGTCCAAACTTCTCTGAAGGAATTGGAAATAAAAACCACTACCCAATGCCTTAGGAATTGATAGTATACTAATGGACATATTTCAACAAAAAGATACGTCTCTGAAAGAACTCATCAGGTTGTGCCAAGAAATCTGGAGGACAACTACCGGGCCAACTAACTAAAGAGATTAATATTTATTCCCATTCCTAAATTTGATGATCCAAAAGAGTATGGAAATAATCAAACAATATTACTGAGATCACACACAAGCATAATACTGCCAAAGATTATCTAAAAACGATTGGAACAGTACCTCAATTTAGAACTGCCAGAAGTGGAAGCTGGGTTTAGAAGAGGCTATGGCACTAAGGACATCATAGCCCAGGTCAGACGAATATTGGCTGAAAGCATAGAGTAGCTCAGGAATGTCTGTGTTTCATTGACTATACAAAGGCATTTGAGTGTAGATCACAATAATTGTGGCTAACTTTGAGAAGAATGGGAATTCCAGAACACTTAAATGTGCTTATGGGAAACTTATACTTGAACAGGAAGCAGTCGTCAGAGCAGAGCAAAGAAATACTGCATGGTTCAAAATCAGAAGAGTGTGTCAGGCATGCGTCTTGTCTCCACATCTTTTCAATCTATTTGAGAAAAAGATCATTCAGTACACTGAACTTTATGAGAAGGAATGTGGCATCAGTATTAGAGGAAGTCTCATTAACAATCTGTGTTATACAAGTGACAAAATCTTGTTTGCCAAAACAGAGGAGGACCTGAAGTGTTTGCTGCAGAAGGTAAAGGACTACAGTTTCCAACATGGATTTAAGCTTAACATCAAGAAAACAAAGATTCCCACCAGTGGGCCAATTGGCAGAACCATGATAGATGGAGAAAAGCTTGAGATTGTTAATAATTGCAGCTTGCTTGTTTCCACATCAACATCTTTGGCACCATAGTCAGAAAATCAGAAGATGAATTGCATTGGGCAAATCTGTTGTCAGGGACTTCTCCAAAAGTGCTGACGAGCAACAATGTCAGCCTGGAGACTAAGGTGCACCTAATCCAGGCCATGGTCTTAGTAAGTACTTGCTATGCATCAGAGAGCTGGACAATGACAAAGGATGACAGAAGAATTATTCATGCCTTTGAGATGTGGTGCTGGAGAAGAGTATTGAACTGCCAAGAGAAGAAACAAGTCTGTCCTATAAAGGGTGAAGTCAAGTGGCTCCTTGGAGGCAAGGCTTTTGAAGCTCTGTCTCACATAATTTGGGCATGTTGCCAAGAGGAAAGAGTCTTTGGGAAAGGACATCATGCTTGGAATGGTGTAGGGACAGCTCAGGAAAGGAAGACCAAGGATGAGATGAAATGACACAGTGAATGGGGTCACGGGGCTAAGTGTGTTGGAAATAGTGAGGTTGGCTCAGGACACGGCAGTATTCACAGCTGTTGTATATTGGGTCACTAAGAGTCACAAGTGAACAGCACATAACAACAACAATCATACATATCTTGTTCCATATCAGTAACTATAATATACACAATGTCTGATTTCTGAGCCAAACATAGTGGAAAGTTCTCCTTTTACTGCAAGTCTTTGGCTTAGCCGTAAGGAGTTGTACTGCCAATTTACTGGCTTGAGGCTCAAACTCACCAACTGCTCCACAGGAAGAAGATGGGAAATCTCCTCCCTTCTCCTCTCAAAACCTACGGGAAGGTCAGCTCTGAGTTGTTCAACTCATGGTGCATAACGATATGCTCCCATGAACGCTGAGGATTTAAGGATTATGTCCTAAGGATTAAGTGCTCAATGCTAACTCCACAGTCACGGCCTAAGAGGCAAGAGAGGACAGGTCTATGCTGCCACATAAGGCCAGACAAGTCATCCACAGCACACAGCACCACCACCATCACCCATAGTCCCACAGTTCTCCTCCCAGGCCAACTATCATGAGTAGTTTTCACACATCTTTCCATAAGTGGCTTATGTATATATGAGCATATATATTGTTGTTGTGTCCTGTTGAGTTGGAACTGACCCTCTAGCAGGTTTTCAGAGGCAGTTTACTCACATAAGAAGGGATTGCTCACAGAGCAACTGATGGATTCGAACCATGTGCCTTTGGAATGGCAGCACAGCTCCTGAGATCATATATTAGGATATAAATTAGGATAAAGCAGTGCATGAAAGAATAATGTAAATAATCTGCTATAATATAATAATCTTTTTTAAAAAACCCTACCAGCAAATGTGAGGATGACCCTTGACCAGGTGGGTTGACACTGACTATAGCAATGAGCTTGAGTGTGCCAGAGAATGTGACAATGGCACAGGATAGGACAGAGTTCAGATTGGTTTTTCATAGGGTTGTTATGAGTCATACTCAATGCGATGGCTCCTAACAACAGCAGCAAAGAAATTAATTCTAACTAAAAAGAAAGCATTCTATATTTTATATTCATGGAAAGAGTTCCTTCCCATTTCTTGATACTTTCAACCTGAAGTGCTAGTTTTAAGAAATTATTATGTACAGCTGTAAAGTGTGATTTGTTTACAAAGAGAAGCTGGTGAGAGTGGGAAAGAGAAATTGTCAAACAAGAACAAAATGGATGTGATAATAAAAAATGGCATATGCACCCCACAGAAATGAGAGCCTTCTACTTACATTTTATCTAAATACTTATTCACATCTTCATCCTTTTCATAGTCCTTACACAGCTGGGCGACCAGAGCCCCATAGGTGAGGACAAAGAGATCTTTGTTCTGGAGGAAAGGGGATAATTTCATATTATAGGCAAAGTTACAAGTAATATCCCACTTTCTATTTCATAAGATCTAGGAGCTGGAAGAACTTTAGAGATGATTTATTCATGTTTTCCACCCTCCTACTAGTTGCTGCAACTGTCTTTCACTTTGAGAACAAACTGTGCTCACACTTAGATACACTGCTTGGGGAGGGACACTGGGAAATTAATTTTTTCATATCAGAAAACTTTTCTACTGTTTACTTAATTATATAAATTTGATTGTGCTTTAATGGAGGAGGTCTCTCTCCTCGTATATCAATTACTAATAAGTCTTGTCATTTCACAATTGCCTGTGATCCTGTTTTCAGTTAGGAGGAATAATTGTATGAGATTTCTAAGTCTGCACAATCCCAGATCTGCCAAGGAAACCTCCAAGATGAGCCCAAAGATAGAAGCTAATTTGTGAGGCATTGGGGAGTTTTCTTTTCACTTAAAAGAATAAAAAGGGGGGTGAGGGGAAAGGATTTCCACCGTTTCTTACAGATCTCCAGAACAAGTCCAGAGTGAACTAAAGCCAAAAGGTAAAATAGGGGATTAATTAGGTTTGATTTCCTTTAGGCATGCTGAGAATACAGGAAATGGAAAATGCAAAGCTCCATCAATCCCTTTGTAAAAGCTTTCCTGTGTTGCTTCTGCTGTTGAATACTCTCTGTGAAAGGGAAGGGAATCCAGGGGATGATTTATTCTAATGCTTTCATCCTGTGGTGGAGGGAATGAGGCCCCAGTAGGTCTGAGGACTTGCCCAAGTGATCAGCAAGCAGCAGGGCCAGGATGGAGCCTCATTCTAACAGCACTGATTCTGGGATGAACAAAACAAGGTAGGTCCTGTTCAGAGCAGAGGAGAGAAAGAGGAAGGGGGACTGGAGGCCTCTCAGAAATTACTCTTACTTGAACATAAGCTTGTACTTTCAAAGGACAATGTGACTTACTTCACCTGCATGCTTCTGTATATTCTAACGTTGAAGTTAAGACAAGGCCTGTCACTATGAATTCGTTCATTCCCTCTCTGTCACGCATAAGGAGCCGTGGTGGCATAGTGTTTAAGGCTGCGAACCAAAAGGCCAGCAATCTGAATCCACAAGCTGCTTCTCAGGAAACCCAACAGAGGGTGACTGTGAGTTGAAACTGACTTGATAGCAGTGGGTATTTTGCATATGCACATGTGGCTTTGAATGGCTCAACAAACCCATAAAATTGTGTATTCAATATTATACTTAATTATATTTAATTTTGTTTTGTATAGTTTTGATTCAATTGCTTCCAAAGTTGGCCCCCAATCACCATCATCCCTTCTCTTATTCTTATTTCTCGTATGGGTTTTATAATGGCAAAGGTATTTCTTCAATCAGGTATAATATTATCACTAAATGATACAGATATAATTTATATGGAAAAATAGACATTTACAAGATGTATAGTATACACATATTAATTAAGACATTAAGAACACTTGTCTCTGCAATTCAGGTATAGGAAAATAATGCACACATCTTTTTTTAGAAAACTAGAGGCACAAAGCATAGCAAGTGATGGTGGTGGTTGGTCTTACTGTTATATGCCTTGGAGTCTGAACTGATTGATAACTGACCCTCCAGCAGGTTTTCAGAGGCAGTTAATCACGCAGGAGGAGATTGCTCATCCTTCTCCTGTGCAGCTGGTGGATTCAAACCACATGCCTTTGGGATTGCAATATAGCTTCTTATCACTAGGCCACAAAATATTGCTACATAAATAACTGAAAAGTCCCCTCTGTTTCATTTTAATTCTGTGCTCGTTTAAATCTCACAAGAACCCAATTATAAGTCATAAGAAATGACTGAAAACTGTAAATTAATGATTTGCCTTACACATAGTTACAGAAGAGAAATGATTGCATAAAAATAGGCAAAGTTGAAGGAAGGAGGGAGAGAGAAGAAATCTAGAGGCTTGGAAAAGAAAGCTAGAAAAGCTTTTATTGCCACTAGTAGTAAAAAAAAAGAATTTGGAAAAGTGATACAAGAAGATATAATTATACCATGTTTTCAAGTCATAGCCTCAGCACTGTCTTCATTTATAATGAAGATCAAACAATGGGGTGAGGGGGGGGAGACTAAGGAAAGATTTACACACAGAAATAACTATGAAGGGTGACGTGGAAGGGAGCATACAGTGAGGCTTTAACAGAAGAGGTAAACAGTGTCATTGCATCATTGTATTTTATAAGACAAAATGAATATGAATGAATGAAAACCAATTTTTAAAAGGGAAAAAAAATAAAGATATTTTCATTAATTTCTCTTTTAAAAAAGATCAAACACTGACATTCCTTCTCTCTTTCTGATAGGTAAATCTGAAATAAGATTTATTTCCAAGTGAGTTTCAAATCTGATACTTAGACTAGTTTACTACAGTTTACTTCATTCAGCTTCATGGCCAAGAGCTGTACCATGGACTTCACATCCAGGAAAATGTCCCGTTGGTCAAAGGAAGGGCTGATATAAACCTATCTTCACAGTTTTTAAAGCGATAAAAAAGCAACCACTTTTATCTATAAAAATTAGGGAACCATTAATTTTTCGGGAGTTTTGGATATTATTATGGTATTTAAAAAAACAAAACACCTTCCTTATAAATCAAGTCCTTTAGATATAATATGAATTACATAAAATAATTATGTACATTGCTTTTTAACATCTGGAAACTGCGTAGAAAAATGAATCAAGCTCCCAGTGCCAAAGGGGGTGCTTGTAGGCACTGCAGTCTAGGTTATCCACTGCGGTTTTAAGTACCCTAAACTGAAAAGACTTCAGTCTACCCAATGTCTGTCAGTTTCCTAAAAAAATTGACAGAGCTTTAAACTTAACTAGTTTTAATGTCTGCAACTTCTTAGTAGTTACAACTGCAATAAGAGGCTTAAACACAAATATTTATTCAAATATGATCTGTGCTATACCGTGTTTTTAAAATAACTCAGAACTTGGAATATAGGCAGGATATAATGCATGCCCAATCATGATAATAAGCATACTTAAGAATAGGAAATATATTTTTAAAGGCATGCAATATCTAGTCTGCTGATAATCTATTATTAGCCACTTTAATACATAATAACTATTTTATGTATAATCATTTTTTATTTTATGAAGAAATAACAAAGAATTTCTTGGTCTCTATATTTTTCTAAATGAAGTGAGAGAATAATTTGCCATTAGAAAATAATCCCTTGAAATATGTATAAAGGACGGATTATTCTGTTGCACCATGTAAGAAATAATGGTATTTGTTGCCAGTGTTGTCATTAATGATTCCTTCCACTTCCATTCGTGCCACCTAAAATTTCTACATTTAACATCACCTTTCAAAATAAATCAGAAATCACTCCAGAAAACATTTTCTTTGAATTAGGAAAACAATCTCTTGGAGAACATGATTATAAAATATCTTACTATTTTACGATATTCTGGTCTCCTGTGTGCAGGGTGCGACATGGCGCTGGGTGGTTGAAGAGTCTGTGTCTTTGTTCTCTGTTGATCAGTCCTTCCTTGCTTTGAGGCCAAAGTGCTACTTCTGCCCTTTACTGCTTTAGCTTTATACTAAACTGAAGAATAAAAATATCACAAAACCAGACTGTATTGCTGCCACGTAACTTGCCGCAGATCAAAAGTTATTTGATCTTCACTTGTGAGGATGTGTTTTTTCTGGAGGCTTAAAAGCTGTTGGTGTGAAGTCAGAAGGAGAAGCACCAAGATTCTGAAAATTCTTCAGCCCAAGGGACCTCAAAAGTGGTGTTTTGTTCTTATGCCAAGGCATTGTTTTAAAATCACAAACAGAAACGTCACAATCCAAGATAGATCTAAATGTTAGCATTATCCAGTCTTTGTATTGATTGCTATGTGAATCAGAGACATGATCAGCAATCTATAGGTACTAAATCCTGGTTTTAAAACTTAATCACCAACTCTAATGGGTATTATATAACTCCCCCAAACATGGATTGTCCATCCTGTGTGATTCCAAAACTCAACTTTATCTGATAACTTTCCTTTTCCAAAAGCAATAACTTCAAGAGCAATAGAATTTGCATGACATTTTCTTTTAAAAACTGTTGCTTTTAATGGGTGTTCTGCAGTTTAATAATGTATAGTGATTTTGGCAGGGAAAGCAAGCCCTTAACATTCTTTTGATAGTGTCTGAGCTATTGAATGTTTGCTTTTTTATGCACAGTATAGGTATTTAAAGTTCAAATAAGAAACCCTTTAATATCGACAACTGCAAAGTGCTAGGGGGCAAACTTTCTCCAGAAATAGAATCATACTGTTGAGTTTAAGAAAATAGTTTATGCTTCTTACAGCCTGAACCCATTAGCTCTATTCATTCTGGAAAATTCTTGCTAAAATGAGACAAGCTAGGAACCGCTTTGAAGAGCATTGTTGAAAGAACCGTGGAGAATTTGGAAGACCCACATAAAGCTATAGTTGTGACATGTCACAGCCTATGTGATCTTGGGCAAGCCATTTTACTACTCAGTTTTCACATCTGCAAAGTGGGAATAATAATAACCACCTCACAGTAATAACTTGAGTATCAAAGTGATAATATGAGTTATAAAACACATTATAATGCACTATATAAACAATAATTATTATTGGGGTTTTTTACGTAGGTGAATATATTGAATGTAATACTACACTACTTAAGATTACTTCTATTAGTTCCTATGCTTAGGATACCATTCTCAGAAAATCACTTCTGGTGGATTGTTGATGATGTATAATGTAAACATTCTTCTGAATCACAGTTACCATAACATGCCTCATAGGGTTTCCTGGGCTGCAGTACTTATGAGTGTAGCTCACTAGGACTTTTTACCCATGAAGTTCTGGATGAGTTTGAACTCCAGCAACAAGTAACCAATCCACCAATACTCAATAGTGAAGGATTTGTGCTGAATCTGCTGATGTCAAATCAGTTCTTTTTCTACTACACACAGAGAAACTGTCAAATCAAGTTAAAAAAAATCCCTTTGAGCAGACTAACAAAAACTACTGAAAATCATGGCAGCAAGTTGTTGGGACTAGTTTAGGGGCATTTCTGAGTTTTAGGCATTTCCATTTAAAAACCTAACACATGCCTGTGCACTTAATGGGAGCGGAGGAGTGGTACTGGTTTAGATTTTAAGGATCTCTAATTTAAATCCAGGAGCTTTGAGATGGCGGTCTCTTCTTAAGATTTAAAGAGTGTCTCATTATCATAGAGAAGGGTGACCCAACAGAGTGTGGAAACTATAGAACAATATCATTAATTTCACATGCAAGCAAGATTCTACTGAAGATTACCCAAAAACGACTGGAACAACACATCAGCAGAGAACTGCCATAAGTCCAGTCTGGGTTTAGAAGGGGTGTAGTACTAGGGATATTGTAGTTAATGTTGGATGCATCTTGGCTGAAAGTAGGGAATACCAGAGGAATGTCTATCTGTGTTTCATTGACCATGCAAAGGCGTTTAACTGTGTGGACCATAGAAAACTGTGGCTGACTCTGAGAAGAAAGGGAATCCTAGAACACTTGATCGCACTAATGAGAAACCTATACTTGGACCAAGAGGCAGTCATCAGAACAGAGCAAGGAAATACTGCATGGTTCAAAATTGGGAAGGTCGTATGCCAGGGATGTGTCCTGTCTCCATACCTTTTCAACCTGTATGCAGAACAGATTATCCGGGAGGCTGGGCTCTATGAGGAGGAATGTGGGGTCAAGATTAGTGGAAGATCTATCAACAATCTGTGATATGCAGATGACACAACTCTGCTTGCTGAAACTGAGTAGAACCTGAAGTGTTTGCTGCAGTGGGTCAAGGACTGCAGTCTTCAATATGGATTGAGGCTGAATGTCAAGAAGACAAAGATTTTCACCACTGGACCAATTGGCAGTATCAGGATGGATGGTGAAGAAATTGAGATAGTTCACAGCTTTAGTTTGTTTGCTTGGCTCCACAGTCAACACTATTTGCAACAGTAGCCAGGAAATTAAAAGACATATTGCAATGGGAAAGTGTGCTGTTAGGGACCTCTCCAAAGTACTGAAGAGCACTGGTGTCTCTCTGGAGACTAGGGTGCGTCTGATACAGTCCATGGTCTTTGCAATCACTTGTTATGCATCAGAGAGTTGGACAATGACTAAGGAGGATAGAAGGAGAATTGATGCTTTTGAGCTGTGGTGCTGGAGAAAAGTATTGAGAGTACCATGGACTGCTAAGAAAACAAACAGGTTCATCCTGGAAAGGGTCAAACTGGGCGGCTCCTTGGAGGCAAGGATTCTGAGGCTCTGTCTAACATACTTTGGACATGTTGCAAGGAGGGACCAGTCCTTGGAGGGGACATCATGCTTGGTAGTGTGGAGGGACAGTGCAGGAGGGGAAGGCCCGCTATGAGGTGGATTGATTCAGTGACTAGGGTAATTGGGATGGGTGTATCGGTAATTGGGATGGGTGTATCGGAGATGGTGCAATTGGCATAGGACAGAGCAGCGTTTAGGGCTGTAGTACATAGGGTTGCTATGAGTTGCAAGTGACTCAACGGCACATAACAACATAACAAATCATTGCTATGGCTTGGGAATAAATAAATGTAAATGTAACTATAAGTACAATGTAAATGCAAATATAAATAGAAACAAAGACTGCTCATTTTTTTCTTAATATCTTTTCTAATGTTTAATCAGTTCACTTCTTCCTCTATGATTATAAAAATTTCTTCCTATAATCCGATCCGGTTTATCTTTTAAAAAATAGAGCAATTGTTTCTATAGTTTACAGTTCCACCAACTGATTTTTAATAACCCTGTCATGTATTTGTATCTGACATAAAAGTTGAAGATTGACATATATTTACAATGAATTTCAATTTGTTAATACAGAATGGTCAAAATCATCCCTTTGTCACTTTATGCCTTTAGTTTGGTCAATGTTCCTAGCTGTCTGTATGCATCCAACTACATTTATTTTCAAGCTTTGTGTGTGGCCTAGTTTTGGATGAGTCACTTACTTATAAACACCAAGGCTCTATCTTTAAATCTCTCTGTTGATGCCTTTGAGCTGTGGTGCTGGAGAAGAGTGTCAGGAGAACAAACATGTTGGTCCTAGAGAGGGTGAAGCCAGCCTGCTTCTTGGAAGGATGGATTCTGAGGCTTCATATGACTTTGGGCATGTTGCAAGGAGAGACTGGTCCCTGGAGAGGGACATCATACTTGGAGGGTGAGGGGATGGAGAAAGAGAGGGAGACCATCGATGAAGTGGATTGATACAGTAACTGGGGTAATGAGTGTAGGTGTGTCAGAGACAGTAAAGTTGGCACAGGATAGAGAAGGTGTCAGTGCTGTTGTACATAGGGTCGCTGTGAGTTGAAAGTGACTCGACGGCACATAACAACAACAACAACAACAACATAATAATGTAAGAATAAATAGTGCTCCTGTGCATATATGCTTTCATTTTACGTCAGATTTATGTTTGAGATTTTAAGTCAATGACATTTTCCAAAGTGGCAGTACCATTTTACATCCTTACCATTGTTGTTGTTGTTGTGTACTGTTGAGTTGGAATTGACCCATTAGCTGACCCTCCAGCAGGTTTTCAGAGGCAGTTAATCACATGAGAAGAGATTGCTCATCTTTCTTTCACAGAATGGCTGGTAGATTAGAACTGCTTGCTTTTAGCACTGCAGTACAGCTTCTTAACATTAGGCCAGCACCAGAAACAGTGTGTGTGATCTACAGTTGCTCTCTATAATCAACTTTCAGCATGTCACTTTTATTAATTTTAGTAGACATGTAATGATATCCTATTGTAGCAGTGTATCATTTGTACCTTTTATTATTAAAAAAGGATGTTTTTATATAATGAAAAATGAAATAAAGGACTTCCAAAGTATGATACTTTGATGTCATTATTTTTACCCTCATTCTTTTTCTCAGGGTTTAGTGTTATTCCTGCAAAAGTATATCCTTTAACAATTTTTAATGATATTCTGTATGCAGGCATTTTCTTAGTCTTTGTTTCCCTCTCAGTCTTGAATGATAGTTTAGCCGTCTTGCCTACTTGCAGATACTATCTTCTTGTCAGTTCTGTGGCATTAATCTTTCTTGTTACTAATGAGAAGTCTGCTCTCAACCTGGTGCTATCCTTTTGTAGGTTATCTGTCTTTTCTTTCAGGTAGATTTGAATAATATCTGTATGATTTTTATGCTAGTCAATTTTACTGTGATGTGATTAGATGTAGATTTATTTTTATTTATCCTGCTCAGGATATTCAATATTTTGATGGGAGCACTTTCTCTGATTCTGCAAAATTCTCAGCCATTTTTCCTTAAATATTGCATCTCTGCAGTTTCTTCCATTTTTTTTCCCTTCTGGGATTCTTAGTAGGAAGATCTTTGAGTTTCTTAATCTGCTTTTCTCATTTCTTTTAAACTGTTTCTTAAATAGTCTATTTTATTTGTCCTTTTGGTACTGCATTCTGGATAAATTCTTTAGTACTGTGTTTCAACAGGCTTATTATGCATTAAACTGTATCCAGTTTTGAGGATATTTGGAAAGATAATGTTTTCTCTTATATACTTCTTTATAAACCCAGCCAAGCCCAGCCCAGTGCCTTTTATTTGTTATAATTGTATTATTGTTGAAATTGTATTATTTGTTGATCAAACAAGCATCACAAATGTTATACATATTTTATCATTTTCGTTCTTATTTATAGATATATAACTTTAATAAAAAATCATACCAACAATAAAAAAATCACATTTTCATATAACTAAATCTACTATATAAACAAACCAGCAACTTAACTTCTAAACAAAATATAACTGCATTTAACAAGATAAATTTTAATTTTTTTTAATGCAGTCAAAATGTTGTGTGTGAGCTGCGTGTGTGTGTATGGGTGTGTTTTATGGCCAAGCCTTGTTATTTTTCTTTGAGAAAGTTGTTATTTTCTGGCAGAATCCTTGGGTCATCAACCTTCAAGCAACTTGGCTAAAACCTTGCCCTGTGGCACAGCAAACAGAATACTAGAAGCAAACAGAACATTCTTTGACTAAGTTTTGATTACCATGAAATAACAACATAGAGAAGACTGGAAATGATCAAACAGTAGATTAGGGTCATGTTCTTTGCTGTGCCATAGGACAAGGTTCAGATCTATTGTTCATAGGTTGCTATGAGTTGTAGTCAGCTCAAATGCGCCTAACAATAACAACAATGCAGCTCAAGGAAGACGGTAGCAGTCTGTTCTGCAAGCAAGCTAAACTCTTTTTAAGGGGGGAAAGTATACCAAAGTCTCCCCCATTCATTTGTTCATCTCCTTCAATTCTTTCTGACTGTAATCTGAAGTGCATTTATTAGCTCAGGATTCACACAGTACACAAGGAAAGATGCTTGAATCCTTTAAACATATAAGGATGCTAGGTCACTTGACACAACCAGTTAAACCAGTCACATGCCATTATATGGTTAAAGCTGGTGGAGTGTAACAATCAGAAAAGCCTCAAAGCTGACTGGTAGCAGGAGCCTCACAGGATGAGCTTGGTTCTCAACAATATTGCATCTTCTCTGCAGAAAAGTGGAACATTTATCAATTCTTTAATTGCGGCTTTGACAGTTGGTGGACAACAGTTGTTCTCCTCTTTCACGTTTACCTGTCCTTGTCAAGTTGGGAAAAATGCCTCCTACGGTTCTGCTTTTCTAGTCATTCCTGCCTTGGTCCTGCTGATTGCTGGCTATGCCTTGAGGAGTCAAACATGGACCATTATGGGTGAACACTGTTGTACCTGTGCCTCTCCTCGTCGCCAGCTCAGCCCCCTGGAACGTAAGCTGGCTTGCCTTCGGTTCTTCAGCATCACCGGGAGAGCACTTGTTGCTCCTTTTACATGGCTGGCTGTGACACTATTGACGGGCACTTACTATGAATGTGCAGCAAGTGAATTTACATCTGTGGACCACTATCCAGAATTTGACAGCATTAATGCCAGCAAACGAGAAGAGATCCTAGCTGGGTTTCCATGTCACAAATCAGCGCCTCCTGACTTGATTGCCATAAGAGATGAAGTGACTCTACTCCACAGATATCAGTCTCAAGTAAGTTCTTGATCATTTTTTTTCCCATGCAAAGCAAGCCCATTTTAAGGACAATTATTAGGTATATTTCATTCATGAAATGATTGTATAACATAAACAAGATGTCATTTGTAAGCTACTTTTGCTGAGAGGCTATGCAAAGAGTTAGAAAGTTCAGTTTTGGAGTCCACAAACCTGGGCTTGAGTTTTTCATTACTACGTATGGTGTTTCAAACTTGAACAGATTATCTGCCCTATATATACCTAATTTTCCTCAGCTATAAAGTAGAAGTCTTAATTAACATTGCTGCATAGAGTTGTGAGGATTAAATGAGATAATACTTCTAAAGTACTTAGTACCTAGATTCGAAGAATCTATTTTATTTGCAATAAACAACCTCCTCCTGGGCCATGTACAGTCTTGGAAACCCAAATACGTGTGTGTAGGTGCTAATGTGTCTGGGTTGCTTTTGTTATGTATACTCAAGTCAGAACCAACTCATACCTGACTCTCCAGTGGATTTTCAGAGGCAAATAAATTGCACAGAAGGAGATTTATCCATCTTTATCCTGAGGAACAACTAATGGATTCAAACATGTACCTTTAGGTGGTCAGTGCAACTCATTCTCTCTCTTCTAATGAATTTTCCTGTTGTTTTAGATTGCAGTAGTTTAAAAAGCATAGTTAAGAATCTTTCTATCTCTACATATATATATATACCACATACTGAATAAATATTAAATATTTTATCTGGGAGGCTGGGCTCTATGAAGAGAAATGTGGGGTCAAGATTAGTGGACGATGTATCAACAATCTGCGATATGCAGATGACACAACCTTGATTGCTGAAATTGAGGAGGACCTGAAATGCTTGCTGCAGAGGGTCAAGGACTGCAGCCTCCAATATGGATTGAGGCTCAATGTCAAGAAGACAAACATTCTCACCACTGGACCAATTGGCAGCATCAGGATG